CTCACAGTTACATATTTAAACAGGGCTTGTTAATATTCACGCGTCCTGACAGAACATGTTTAACACAGGCTGTTATAGAGGAGGAGCTGTACGTGTGTGTGGTCCTCCTCATCCTCAGCACAATCAAAAACCAGTCCAGCCACACAATCAGACGCCTCAGACACGATGTCTTTGTCTTTTAATTGATGTCTCTTTCTATTTTTCTCTTGTATTTTATTGCCTTAATTGTCATGGTATACAAACGTGTTTTAAATGTGCTCTATGTATAGAGTAAGTTTGAAAATAGGTGAGAAAATGATGACATTTTGTGCATGAATCTACCAGTCTCCACCAGGGCCGGATTAAGAATTCAGAGGGCCCTGGGCACAGTGTCTTGTAGGCCCCCCCTTAGGCAGGCCAAATGTAGTTTGTCCATGGACATTTTAATTTGGCATTAACTGTATTACTGACTTAAAAGGAACTTTTTTGTACATATTACTTCATAAATGATTTGTGTTTCCCATAGGATTTTATAAAACTATGTTGGGTGGAACTCTATCCCTCTAGGGGGGTTCGGGGGCATGCTCCCCCGCAAGAAAATTTTGTACATTTTAAGGTTAAATGCATCAATCTGGTGCACTTTGAGAGCTCACAATTAAGAGCTTCAACCGGCTTTAACCCATGAACTGTGCACATTGAACAAAGAAAAAGCATTGACTTGTACCTGGACATTAAAGAGGGCTCAAACATCTTTTTAGTTATGATATAGAGTCTCAGTCTGCATTACATTATCACTGGTGTTTTAGGATGCCAAACAATTATTATAATAATGATTTATATCATTATTCCTATGACGTAAAATCATATAGGCCTACCTCCTATAAATGTAGCCTAAAAGTATTTTGCATTACATTACACAGTATAGGAAAAGTACAATACTTTTGTCCTAATTTCTTTAATTGCCAGAAATAAACCCTTGAGCTTTCATTTTGGAGAAAACACCAGATCACCATGCTGATCGCGTGAGCAAAGTGCGCACTTCTATTTAAATCACGCAGCACAAACAGAATGCCATAGGCTACTTAAAGTCTTTTGCTGTTTTATAACGGCACGAAGCAATATCCCAGTTTCAATTTGACTTCGTTGGCAAAATATAACGCTAAACAGTCGAGACCTTTATGGTAGGCAACTGCTTCTCCATCACCTCAAATTTCAGAGCGTCAAGTCACGCGACGCGAGTCGACATGATAGCTCGCTCTCGCTCACTGCGCAGGAATACAGACGCTGTTTTTGACGCGATTTAACATTATATTTTGATCGAATGGGTTGCAAAAATATGCATATAATTAGGAAAGTGAGGACTGCGTTTATAACGTGATCTAACATAATATTTGACGGTGCGCAGGGCCCCTTAGATGTCATGTGGCCCTGGGCAAGTGACCAGTTGCCCTAATGGTTAATCCGGCCCTGGTCTCCACTTCTAAAAGTGTACACACACACACACACACACACACACACACACACACACACACACAGCAGTTTTCTGGAAGAATGTTAGTGTTCTTCATTATGCACTTTTATTCTAGAGTTTATAGATATTTCACATTATTAATTGTGATTAACTTAAATTGTGAGGTACATTTTAAATAAGCCTGTTTGTATTTGTTTGTCTGAGTTTAGACGTTGATCAACTGAAGAACTCAGTGAATGATCTCTGCCACGAGCCTCAGGAGAGCTTCAGGAGTGAGTGGACACTGCCACCTAGTGTTTCTCTGTGGAACTACGCTTTGGGGAACTTTATGATTTTCTGCTGAGCTTCAGTTGTTCTTTCTAATCATTTTCTCGTGTTTGTTAATGGCAGGGTTCCTCATCCCTGTATTTAAACTCTGTGTGAATCGACTAATCAAGGTCTTTGGTTTACCAGATGTTGAAGCTGACAAATGAGTTCTGCAGGAAAGAGTCTCTTCAGGACCAGAAGTCCAGAATCCTGCTTTACGAGTAAAACTGTGATCTGTTAATTACTATTATTAATAATTCTGGGAGGAATGTCAACTTGGCGAAATGCATTAACTATAATGTTGGAGCAATAACACTTTTAGAAGCAATCTAATCAAACACATAATTCTGCTGTAAAACAGAAACTGCACTTTTCTACCATGAAACGTAAAACGCCACGTTTCTGAGAACACTTGAATCCCTCAGAAGAGTTAGGGTTTTCTTTCATTTCTCTTGAGGTTTTCTTACTTCGGTACACCTGCAGTCACACACGTACGCGTGTACGTGTGTGTGTGTGTGTGTGTGTGTGTGTGTGTGTGTGTGTGTGTGTGTGTGTGTGTGTGTGTGTGTGTGTGTGTGTGTGTGTGTGTGTGTGTGCGTCTTACACACGCACACACACATTAATAAATATAAATAAATATAGAACATTTAAATAAACAACTATTTCTATCCAGTTATTTCAGGTTCATTGAGTATATTTGCACTTGTAGATGTAACTATTAGAGTCATAAAGCTTGAAGTGTGTGTAGCTGTTGGTTTAGGTGGTGTTTTGTGGGTTTTTAATTAGATTTTATGTAATTATTATTATTATTTTGGACAGGATTAAAGACTACTGTGATCTGGTGTACTTTTTCTATGACATTACATCATTATTGCACCACTGGTTACAGACATAAACTCTGTGTCTGGACAAATGCTGGTTATTAAACTCTTCAGAGTGTTATAACAACAGGATGTGTGGTTTTCTAAAGTACAGTGCAAGCTTTTCTCCTCGTTCTCATCAAGCTTTTTTGTAATGAGATGCTGTAATTAATTGTGTAATGTACTTGCAACTTGCAAGTGAGATTTTGTCTCCATCAAATCAAATATTTTCAGTCTAATCAATTCCCTCTTCATGTCTCTGCTCAATATGAATGTGGAAAAACCCAGAAAATGAAAGTACAGAAGAAGTTTATGTTTTTATCCAGCATGTCTTGTAATCTGCTTTGGAGGGAGAACATGGCAGTTGTACAATCATAGATGTAATGTGGTTTCACACATTTTTTGTTGAACTCCTCAACCTTGTTTGCTGAGAACTTAATTATATGAGCGCATCCGGTCTCTTTCCTGTCGAGACGTGCAGCACAGACACCTTTAACTGTTGATGAATGACACAGAGCCACAAAAGAGGTAGGTCTACAGTCATTACATTTCAAAATAAATAAAATTCAATGGAATATTTAAAGATGATTGACGATGACCATACACATATTTTAAGCACATGAGAGCAAACATCAAGCATAAGACAAGCTGATATTTGATATCTGAACCTATGATGATGTCTTCAGTACCAAAATTGATATCAGGGTTTTTTCCTAGTAGCTCATCAACAATAGAGTTTTCTTCCTTCTTGACAGTCTCTGGCTGATATTTAGCTCTATTGATTTATTGTTCCCTATTCACTGAAACTTACATTTTCTGCTTTGAAACAATATGTAGGTTTTGAAATAAACATGACTTCACTGAAAAGTCAGGGGATGTGCTAATGTAAAATACCAGATACGAATGACACTCCCCATGAGGGAAACGTCAGTTAATGCTCCTCATATGCAGATATTATAGCAAACAGGAGCAGCATCAAACATTTGCCAGTTGTTTGGTGTCCATTAGTGATCTTTACTGAAAACAACTCTAAAACACGTTTTCATTACGCATTAGAGTTGATGTAGCCTACTAATAATACACAACGTGCTTTTCAAACTTTCAGTTTGAACTCCTTGCATTTGGCATTGCCAAAAGATTGTTGTTATGTAACGTGCAATAAGTTTGTTCTGTTATTTTCAGAGAATAAAAGCTATTTTGGTATTGCAAAACAGGTCGTTATATGAATACATAAAATGAAACGCTTTTATCCCGGTTTCACAAGAAGCTGGCCACTAACAATACAAAGTTTTACATTTAAAGATTCAGCAGGAGGAGACAGTAAAGTGTTCACAGAAAATGTGCTTTTAGACGTCTTTTGAACGTTGTCAGGGATTTGGCTTCCCGGGTGTGGAAAGCTTATTCCACCAGGAACTGTGAACGTGCAACATGACATCATGACTTTGCGTAAACATACAAGCCACTTTCAATTCAAGTGGCGTGTTATCTATACGCATTTTGAGCTATCCGCGTGTATGTCCACGCCGAAATCTTTTGCGTGTATGTCTACGCCATTAAACGTCCGAGTGATTCCGCGTGTATGTGTACGCCGTTAAATGTCCGAGCGAAACGAAGCAAAATCTATATTCTACATCTGTGGAGCGATATTTCTTTTCCTAGGATGGTAGGAGAAGACTCATAAATGGTATTAACCCCAGTGACGGGTAGGTTTAGGGACGGGGTTGGGGTAGGTCATATATTTATATGTACATAATACAGTAATATAACGTTAAGTCAAAGGCGTTGATAAACACGCTGAAAAGCGATTATGCGTGTTGATAGCACGCCAAAAATGGAAATACGAATTGGCGTGTCATACATACGCCATTTCACGTGAATGTTCTGGAAAGTGATTTTTTTTAGCCACTGTACTGTTTTTTTTTTTTACCCCATGCAAGCTTAAAACAATTACTTAAAGAGTGTTGAACGGAGTAAAAATAAAACATGCTTCGGATATAAAGGTTTTTGACAGTAAGAACATGTTGGTGGATCATCTCCTAATATTAAAAAGCTTCTTCTCCCAACTTTGGGGCGGATTTCATGGAGTTTATTCATATACTGTAGATCCTATGTTTGACATTTGCTTATATGAATGGATTATTGGTTTTAGATCCAAGGAGGTATGTTGCAAATTTCGCAGTTTGTATAAGATCATTACCAGTGCTGGCTGATCATTTTTAAGGGATGGCATTGCTTGAAGAAGTTCATTGCTTGAACTTTGAATCAGTAATTAAAAGAAAATCCCTCTGTTGCACAGTGTTCTGTACTGTTGAAGAAGAAAATTGTATGATTTAATTACTCATTCTCATACGAAAAGTATTTTTTTTCTTCTTCATTAAAGGAGATCTGTTCATACTTTAAAGACCTTGTGAACGGACTACGGACATTTCCACAGACCATAAGAGAAAGCAGCAGCTAAGTGCATCATCAAACGTCCCTAAGAAGATGCCTGAACAAGTTCTTCTGAAAACCATGCATAAATACCTGTCCAAAACTGCTGTTTTCAGCTGTTTTCCACTGAGCCTTTTGTTACTCGGACTGGAGAAGCTGATTGAAATAGAATTTGTATGTCCATGTGGTCAGAGTACACTACTAACAGTCTTCATCTTCATTGGGCCTTCTCTTTTTGTCTTTGCTTTAATGTACCTCCTATTAAGACCTTTTAAACATGGATGCAGTCGTTGTTATGCAGGAGTAAATGACGATACTCAGCAGAACTGTCCTAAAGCTTTTGCATCTTGTCTGATTCCACCTGTAATGTGGGCCATCATCTTGTTACTCAATGGTGAATATGTGGCATGTGTCATGACAGACTGGAAGGGGGTTTATGTGTTTGATAAGGAGCTCAACAGGTCTTGGTGTAAACCCACTGAAGGGATGAGAAATGAGAAGGAGCTTCGAGAGTTGACTCGCAAATATATTCAACGATCTCAGGTAAGTATAATATACCACAAGAGTTTGTCCTGCAATTGTAATATCAATATATGAAAATTAAATGTGTTCTTTATATCTCTAAATAAGTCAGATAGAAAAAGGAAAGTAGTTCCCCCTCCCGATGCTCTAAGCCAGTGGTTCTCAAAGTGGGGTCCGCGGACCCCTGGTGGTCCGTGAACTATAGCCAGGGGGTCCGCGAAATAATTTATAACAGCCTACCGTTTTTCCCGACTATAAGTCATTTTTTCTTTAGCATCTGAAAACTTGCTATTTATTCCAAAGTGACTTATATAATGCATTAAATGTCAAATAATAAAAAAGTAGGCTCTTAAAGG